GCTTGTTCTATGAAAGGAACTTGATTTGTTGTTAACATAAGTTGTAATCATAAACGTCTGATAACATTTGTAAATATTAGCATTATTCAAATTAGATAATTAATGTAATCATATTAACCATTTATAATTCGATTGGAACCTCTTTTGTGTATAGTTTCCATTTGAGTAATAAAAAACGTTTATACTTATTTGAAATACCATTAATGGATCATTTAACCTTGACATTTGTTGTTATCATTATTTAATCCTCACATTGATCTTCTATCTCAAAGTTTTCATCCACTTCTTCTTTTTCTTCTTTTTCTTCTTTCTGTCTTGCTAGGTTATTTATTACTTTGACACTCCTACACATGGAAGAAAACATCAATCTTTTAGTCGTGTCACATCTCAAAGTCCTCTTTAACTTATTATTGTTGTTCTTGTTATCATTACTTATAATTTATATAATTAACATTTTTGTGATTCAAACCCAGTCTTATAAGATTATTTATTACTTCGACACTCCTGTACTTGAGAGAAAACATCAATCTTTTAGTCTTGTCAACATGTCATTTGCCTTTCAAAAAAAAAAAAAAAAGGTTAGGCACTCAGGCCTAGACTCATAAGCCGAAAACATGTCTAGGCCTTTTTTTGTTGGATTAGATGCTAGGTTATTGGTCCGTTGTATATATATATATATATATATATGCTTGGGTTTATATTTAAATGCAATATATAAAAAAATTAACATTATATTTCATTTATTATTCAATTTTATCATGTTTCTCATGTCATATGATAGGTTTTTAATAGGAATGTTGGTTACCCCCCAATTATTATATGCCTAATATATATATGGAAAAAAAAACTTATGGATATTTACTTAACATAAAATTTATGTTTTCCAAGATCTAAGATCTTTAATACATTTTATATATATATAAATTTATCATATTTATCAATTTATTTATCTTCAATAGTATACAAAATACTACTTTGTTTTCATATTTATTTTAAATTTACTTTTAACCATGATGAATTTTTGTTTTGAAAATAATACTTACAATTTACAAAACGTCCTAGCATTGGGTTAGTCTTTAGTTTTACAACTATCTTTTTTTTCTTTATCATATTATTAAATAAAAGATACTTTCAAAAAACATAAAATTATTAAACCCAAATGAATGCATGACCCGAGTAGCATATTTGACAAGTTAAAACAAAGTTATTAAACCTAAAAGAGTCTATAAATTGGTCACGGGCTTAGTGGGTCAACTTGAGCTGATGTTTTTTTTTTAAATGACTTTTTTTTTTCAGTTTCATCTTCCATATAAATTAATTGGAGATTGAGCTTCATAATTTATTTTAGTTTGCTTTCTATTGAGCTATAGTGCTCTTAAACAAGAATCCTAACATTGAGTTGGTGCTTAATTTTGCGAGCATCTAATTTTTTATCATATAATAAAATATAAAATAGTTTAAAAATAGTTATTGAGTCTTGTTATAACTCATTTTTTGGTTGTTCTGCAAATTCACTTTTTTCCCTTTCAAAACAAAAATAAAAAAATAAAATAAAAACTGACAACGCAGAGAAAGCAAGTCGAGGAGGATTTCAAACAAATAGAAAAATTAAGCTACAATTTTGGATTAAATTTGAAGCCTAGTTGTACCTTATTATACTCAATACTAAAGAAATAATACAAATCCAAGGTGAAATTAAATGATTATTAGATGAATCTATATAGAAATCCAGTCAAAGGGCATAATTAAATTTTTAATAGGCCAATTTCATTTAATCATAGGCCAAATTAAAGTTTAATTATGATTAAAAATTAATTTGAGCCCAATTAAAGGATTTAATCAAGTGTAAGGACTTAATTATTCTTTAAATGGATCAAATTAATTTTATTAAGGGCTTAATTGGTGAAAAATTAAGTTTAAGAGCCTAATTTGGGCTTAATTAAGAAGATTAGAATTTTAAGAGATCAAATTTAATTTTTACGAAGTAAATTGGTTGAAATCAGGGGCAAAATTGCAAGAAAATCAAAGTTTTATGGTCAATTAAGGGCTAAATTGAAGAAATTCACAGCTAAGAACTATTTTGCAAAAGGCGTCAAACTCTAAGAACCCAATTGAGGAGAATCAGGGGCCAAATTAAAAAAATTTAAAAGTTTAATGGTCAATTAGGAGTTAAATTGCATAAATTCGAGATAAATCATCAAAATGAAAAAGACTACCAACTTTAGGGCTAACATCTGATTTTGGCAGGGACACAATTGAACTTATTCTGAAAATCAAAAGCTCAATTGAGAACGTGATTCAATAAATCAAAAAAACAAAGAATGATTTGGAAATAAGGCTTTCTTTATCACTATTTTGTTCAAATGAAATAATGCATTTTGTACAAAAAGATGTTGTTTCATTCTCTATTCATATAAAAACCTACAAAATAGTGTTGTTTTATACAACACTATATATCTTCTTTTGCCCTTAATGCCCAAAGGCTCAGGAAGAAGGTTTTTCTTCCCCTTCTTTACAGCACCTGTTTCTCATGCTCTCTCTCTTCCACTTGCCCACAAACCCTGACACAGCTTACACCCCATTATGGCCTATCACAATGATGAAAAAGGTAAGGGAGACAAGCCCTCTGAGTGACTCTAAGGCAGCTACACAAAGGCTACCCTAGCTACCCTACCCTATCACCATGACTGGACAAAGGTAGGGTAGCTCTCGCTCCCCCTACCCTTATAAATACCCCATCACTAGGGGATGAAAAAAAAGACTCACAAGAAACAAGACAATAAAGGAGAGAATTGGAAAAAAATAGAAAGGAGGAGAGGGAGGGAAAAGAACGAAAAAGAGGACGACAAAGAAAGAGAGAGAACAAGGGGGAGGAAAAACAAAAACAAAAAAAGAAATGAAAAAAGGGAAAAAAATAGAAATGAAAGAGAAAAACAGAGAGGGACAAAGAGACATAAAAAAGAGGAAAGGAAAACAGAAACATGGAGAAGGAAGAAAAAATATAAAATAGAGAAAAAACACATAGAGAAGAAGAACCGTCGACTGGCAAAGCAACTCCCTAGTACATAACCACCTTGTTTGGAAGAAGAACCATCAACACCACCATTTGCACCACAATTAGCCACCGCTAAGTCAACTTTCCATCACCCTCCTCCTCCTCCTCCTTCTTCTTCGCCACTCTCCATCTATATTATTTTGCTAACTTTCCATCACCCTCCTCCTCCTCCTCCTTTTTCTTCGCCACTCTCCATCTCTATTATTTTGCTAATGAATAGTGGAGAGCCATTGTTCATGAGCTAGATCAGTTCTGGCCCCGTCCCCTTTAATATAGAGTTTATTGGGCTGAAATCAGCCCAACCCCCTTTTAGGCCAATATTGGCCTACCTCTGTTGGGCTAACCTTTGCTTAGTCTCTCTTTTGGGCTAACCTAGGCCCAATTTATTTTGGGTCAATCTCGGCCCAACCATAATTGGGCTGGGCCTAACATAATTGGGTTGGGCCTAACCCAATATATAATAATAATAATAATAATATTATATTATATTATATATTAAATACAAAAAAATTCAAAAATCCTTTTAGAAAATTTTTTGATTTTCTTGTATTTTTCTATTAATTTTGATTAATAATGGTTTGTATATTTATATTATAAAAATATAAATCTTGTATTAAAATACCCAGTTTTATCTGAAATGTTGTAATATATATATATATATATATGGAAAACAACAAAAAATATCTTGTTTTCATGTAAATGGTCAAGTCTCTCAAAAATATAAAAGGATTTCATGTCATATTTTCATGCAAAAAAAATTGATATTTAGTAGCATGCATTTTGAGCTTTAATAATCATTTTATTAAGGCTATAAGAATTAGGACAATATTTCAAAAATATCAATAAAAAATATTTTATTTTCTTTTAATATTTGGGATTACGAACTTATACATATTTCTAATATTAAATAAGAGTTAATTATTTGTTTGTTGACATTAGAATGGTTAGGATATACCTAATAAAATAAGGATCTCTATACCAAAAACTCCTTTTAAGACTAACAATTAGATAACCTAAAAATACTTTAGTTTTTATCAGATAATTAAACAATACAGCTTACCTTAGATATGGTGTATCTTGGATGTTAATACCTTTCCTTTACACAATCAGTCCTCATGCCTCATCTCCGAGACTAATTAGGGTTCTTAGCAACCAAAATACTGGGTAAACTCTCATTCTCTCTTTTCATTAATACAATACAAGAATTTATTATTTCATTTCTTGATTTTCAGATATCATGAATAGATACATCATTGTGACGCTGCACACGTATAACAAATCTAGCAAAGTTCATGACTTGAATCACAGATTTGGTGTGATACAATATGTTATAATCTCAATACCATTAATTTATTTTAAAATCATATCATATTTTTACTAGTTGTTCAAATTATTTTTTCTTTAAATTTATAAAATTGACTAGTCATATCGACATAACTCTTATATAATTTAATTTAAAGTTTGGACTATATATGAAATTAGGTTGAGAAGTTTTAAGATTAACTCATGAAATCAAGTTCAATAATACAGTCAAATTATTTCTTTTGGTGTAAACATAAAAAAAAAATTAGCTTGACATGAAGTGCAGCGCATTACAATTATAAAGCCACTTAATTACCATAGGATGGCCAAGTGTTCAACCGCTATAGCAAAATAAATATTTATGTTGTTCTTTTTAAAGTATCTGTTTGTTCTAGTTTTACCTTTCATCTGTTCCTCTTAACCATGGCCAGTCTTTTTTTATTTCTTTTTTTTGTGTCACTCATGCTTTAAAAAAAAAAACAAGAACTCACTCAAAAACTATCATAAAGACAGATTTATTGTCTCCATTCCTCTTTTCTGTCCCTTCTATATATGTCCTTGCTGTCTTGAAGCATTGTGATCACATTGATTTGGAATCTTTCAATAATAACAGAGGATGAGAGTTCGAAGTAAGACAATGGGATGGAGAAATCAAAGCATCTGTCCAGCTCGTATTCTTCGATGATTTGTCAAAGGCTTTATGATCCAATTCCATCGTAAAAAGCTGGCTAGTCCAGCCTAGCAAGTTACAAATATCAACCGATACCCAATAAGCTCAACAAACAAAGCTAAATCTTGTATTTATTTACACAAGCAAAAATTACAACACATGGCTTGATTCTTTACACAAGCTCTACAGGTCCTAAAATTGAGTCACATGTGGAATTTACTCACATTTTTCTTTCATATCTTCTCTTTTCCTTTCTATAAAAGGGTGTTAAGAAGCAATGCTGGCATGCATGGACTATTTTCTACAACAATCAGTGTAAAAACAAAGGCAGCACTATCTGGATCTCTTCATTCATTCACTGCAAAATTCCTTCCGTCAGGGGTGCTGTTATCTTGATTTTGCTGGGGAGTAGCTAATAAAATGTTTTGGCCCTCATCAGAAGTTAGTGGCGGATTTGTGCACTGTATGCTATCACCCTCAGATAATGAGACTGATGTCACAGCAATCACTGGTACGTTCACCAAAGGCACCTCTGGTTCATTGCTACCACCTTGAGTAGCACTATCTTTCCCACCACCTGTAGCTGACATAGGATTTGAAAACCACCATCAGCATGCAGATGCATGAAAATCTGATATGCAAATGTAAATTGAGCTGTGGAGGAGATAGCTTCAATGACGAGGAACCATGAACATCTTGTTGAGAGAGGTGAGATGCATAAGAGGGAAGCTATACACACTAATCTAAAGACAAATTTTATGCGAGCTTGAGTAAGAAAATTGAGCTTGTGGCTTTATAAGGTGAGTAAATGACCTGTATGAATAACGGTAGTGGCAGGCAGGCTTGCACTGGATGGCACAAATGAGGTTCCAGGTCCTTTTTTCATCTTTGACTGCAAAAACACAACCACAATGGTCATGATGCATGTGTCCACTTCAATTTCAGTCAATTTTCTCTTTGACTATAAAAATATTCAATCTACTATTGACCTTGCAAATGAACCCTTTTTTATTCCCTTGGCTACGTGCCACCACCAAACAGAGAAAATCATGTCCTAGATCATGTTTTCATGCAGAATAGTTTATTAGAAATCTAAGACTGACAAGTGCATTTTTTCCGCGTCCATCACCCTTGGATTCAATGGTCTAGGGACTTGAACTAATGAAAGTTGTGTGTCTACTTTCTTACGTTAGTTATCTTTGTATATAAGCTGTAGATTCCATATTACTACATATGTGATGAATGCAGTCTCTGGCATGCCAAACAAAACATCATTGAAGAGCACATTAGCACCCATACCTTCACATTTTCTTCACAATGCTTCACAACAACTGAGATATTAGCATAACGGCCATGCAATAGTGCATAAGCCCACAAGAGAAGCTTCCTTGGAATGCTAAGATCAAGAATTTCAACTCCGTCCAAGTTAGGCTGAACTTGGGCTTGTACTGCCAGCCGAGATGGAACTAAACAAAGGTTGATACCAGATGGGAGCATTACACAGGAACTCTCACGGTAGAAATTATAAGAGCTCCTAAACAGAGAGGTAGCAGTCTCAATATTTTCATCTGAAACTTTCTTAATCACTATATTCTTGATTCTACTCAACATGTGGTTCCATTTTGTTTCAAGATTTCCCAAGTAGGTAGAATCCTCAAATGATTGACTCCATAACTCATTTGTTTGCAGATCAATACAGAGCAAAAGACTACTTTCCAGATTGCTATCTGATGAGTTAAGGGCATGTATCTCACTTTGGAGTCCAGATTGTACGGGGGTGATCAATGCCAAACTGATTATAAGAGATCGACACCAGGCAAAGGACGCATGCCTGCATACCTTTGCACAGTTGCTATTGGACAACTTGGGATTTTTAAAGCGCTTTCGAATCTTCTCATTTATTGCTTCAAGTGTCTCAAGCTTTCCATTCCCCTCTAGTGAAGCAATATATCTGTGGAGATATCTGTAACAAGGTAGTAAATTCTTAGACAGGTACAACTAAGAGAAGACAATAGGCCGAATAACAATTAGCAATACCATGCCAAAAACACAAATTCATAAACATCAGTTATCTTGATATGAGTCAGAATACTGACATCTCATAACTAAATTTTATATTGCTGAACAATTAAGAATTTGATAGAAGACTTGTGATTAATAGGGTATCAATGATACAGAAATTTTCAAAAAACCTTGCTAGACAGTTCGAGGGAGAAGTTGGCAATCTGAAATTATGACAAAGGTTAGCACATAATGCTACGATGAAGTCATTAAGAATAAGATATCTTCACAAGTAAACACCTAAGTTGAACAATTCATTTCTAGATGAACCACTAACAAAATTATAAAGGAAGAAGCCAAAAGAAGTTCACCATAAAAGATAAGGACAAAATCTAACGAATATTCTAGTTACCCATATAAGCTGCTCTCAGAAATTACTGGGCTTCTGATCTCAGGCAAGCTTAATATCTCTGGCCATAAGTTCCCCTGTTCCATAAACAATGAGAACATCTTCTCCAGCTGATGACCAGAGTTGCCAGGAACACCAGAGTCGGCAGTCTCAGCTTGAGATATTGATAATACAAGGGTCTTGATAAACCTCCCAAGAGCTACTGGTACAAGATCTTCAATGCACAACGAAAACTGGATTTAAATTGAAATTAGATTCCAAAATGAATACTCAAATAAAGATCATGGAACATGGAACATGGAATGAAATCATAACATAGATAAGCCTAGGAATTTCTATGTTAATAATGATAGGAAGATATTATTTGGCTAGGCATGAGATAACTAACAAGCTCTGCAGTTGCATGCAGAGCCCTTGACAATAATTAAAAAAATCCTGCTTGAATTCCATTTCCTACACTCTTAACACAAAATGAATGAAAAAATTAAGAGAGCAGAAATATAACAGTGGAGAGCACTTTGATATTCAAAGTATAGCCACGTCTATATTGATGGTGTTGTTAACGAAAGTATGAACATTTTTCTGATATACAATTTTAATTGCAACAATCAAGCATTAGTGAAGTCGTTTCCTAGATATGATGGGATGACTAAAATGGAAGCAGGCATGGCTTTTGCCAGGCAATGTAAAAGAAAAAAATGTTTAAAAGGGTTGAGCTTTTACCCTCTTATCTGCCCTTAGAGATATAAATGCTCGATCAAGTGTACAAATGTCTCCAGTTTCTTCCAACAATTTCAGATAGAACAACAAATACTTCCGAATGCAAGTAATAAATTTCCGGGAACTTTCTGGTAAGTTTACTTCAAGGGCCTTTTTGTTCCCAGAAAAACCTGGTGTTTTGCGCCTGACATCCAAATACAATAAACAAATGTAGTGCGCATCAGCATTAACAGCAAGATGAACAACAACTAGAATATGATAATTATCAAGGGGATTTTGATACCACCAAGAGACAAAGTGACTTGATGTTTTATGAAATGAATTAGGGAAATTTCAGTGAGAAGATTTGTTGCATGTATTAGATAAAGTTGGGATTTGAAGGACACTGCCCTTTCACATTTCTAAATCAATTTCACAAATGGCGTTCTTCTTTCCCCATGAATAATTTTCACGTAATTTCCATGCTACTATTGCTGGTAAATCAAGAAAGCCTTCAAGATGAACCATGGAATAGCAGTGAGACCATGTTCTCTACAAAGTGATAAACCACCAGGAAAATTTGTCTAGATCTCAAGTCTATGTGGCCCCCAAATTTTGCACAAATAATTGTGAAATAGGTAGGGAATAAAGAAACTAATACCTTCCTTTTTTGACCATCCCATCAATCTCCCACATATTTATAGTGAAGGACGAGCGAGAAGATTTGAAGCAAAAAGAAAGTTCATCCTTTGCTCTCTCCAAATCACCATTCAAACCCCTTTTATACAGTCCTTGTGCAAGCATGTATCTGGCCTTATGAAAATGTTTGAGATCGCCTTCAACACAAACTTCCAAAGCAGAAATGCAATCATCGTAAAGCATTTGCCACACCTCTTCTAACTGAACTGATTCCTCATGTTTTCTCTCAAAACTTTCCTCAGTGCTTCTGTCCTCAATATTATCTGCTGAACATGACACTTCAGGTGCAAATGTACCAAGTATGCTCATGACAGAATCCTTTGTTGATTCATTAAAGGAATATTCTGCAAGGACCTGTAACAAAGAAAAGATACAATATAAAGATAATATGCAGGCATCTGATAAATATAAATATGGTGTAATTCCTAGAACTGTAAGATGATAACCATTGAAACACAAGTAAACATCACGAAGAAGCCAAACACACACACAACACAAGTACAGTGATTGCAGTTCAATCCAAAAGCACAACATGTGCTGGAAAACAAGTCCAAAAGGATAAGAAAAGGAGTTAGTGATAAAAAATAGGAATCTCTCTCTTTGAAGTCTGTTTCTATGGAAGGTGCAGGCCAGAGAAGAAACCTTTAAAACCTCCAGATTCAGTCTTCCAGATTTGCAAAGTAACTTTAGGCGAGAAGCATGCATCCTATAGACAGGATCCACAGCTGATGAATTCAAAGCGATAGCTACACTATAATATGATAGTGATGTCTCATATGAGTATCCAAGCTTTTCGCAGAGTTTCCCCATGTAGAATGCATGCGACCAATCCTGCCTGCAACATCAACAAATTCTATAAAGTCTATATAGGAACATCAAAAAAAAAAAAATAACAGTAATATCGTATGAAAAAGGATCCATAAAACAGTAATATCATATGAGAAAGGATCCATTACTTTTGTGTGTGAGCTTTCTTAAAATGCTTCAATGAATTCTCACAAAATGCCATCCATACTGCATCTTTCGACGGTATGGCAGATCTTTGGTCATAAAAAGGTACCACATTCTGAAGGCTGTCATAGCAGACCAGTGCCAGCAACTCATGTAACTCACACTAGAGACAGATAAAGTTCCAAGCTGGTTAAAACAAATTATACCAAGAATACAAATCATCAAGGTAGAAACTTTAAATTATGTTCAGTAAACTTGCTGGACATGCATTCTGTCTAATAAGATGTACTTTGTTTATGTTTAATGTGGATTTCCTAAATGAAAGTAGTTGATGATGGAATGGCACTAAATAATACTTCAAAAACAATCCATCATAAGTTGCTTCAGAGCTTTCAGTGTGATATCATGTAATCATCCTCAAATAAACCATGAGAATGTGTCCCATCTCAAACAAGCCACATGCACAGCAAACTGCTGTATAGATTAAGGCACCTCCATCCAGTTTAAGAAATGAAGGATATAACTATAGAAACAGTCTAGAAACCAGAAAAAAAAAATATCTGGTGCCCCTCGTATATAATACTGAGAAAGGACAAACCTGCTGGGCTGGTGTCTTCGCTAAAGCCAAACTCATTAATAGACAACGCCTACTCCTCCTTCGACTTGTGTCAACTCTCTGAGGTAGAGTAACATTTTTTCTCCACCCTGCCACATTTATGTGCTTACTTCCATCGTTTAGCAACAAGTCTACCTCCTGCTTTAGTGAAAACAAAAAAGCATTCAAACTAAGTCTAGAAAAAACTGTAAACCACACCAGCTATCTTTGGTTTTCAGGGTAATGAAAATTAAACTGACACTAAAATAAACCTTGCCTCATCGTAAGTATTTCCAAGCCGTTGCCAACTTTCAAAGCGTAGAGGGTTGTACAGTAGATCATATTTAAAGAGATTTGCATTTTGTTGTACGAACTCTTCCCCTTCCTTGGTCAGTACAAAGCCTGGCCATTTATCAGTTGCATTCATTTCCTCTGAAAGGGCTAGGAAATAATACAAGTTGCAATACACTTCAAAATATGGCTCGGAGCTGAATAAGTAAATTATTCATGGAGTTAGCTCATTCTTTAAAGGTGGTGCACCTCAAAAAGAAGTTATATCTTATATGAGTAAGAAAATACCTTCTGACCATCAATGCCCTGTGCTGTTTGACACTTCCTGCATCAGGAAATATTACCTTTGTTATGGTTTCAAGATACCCTTCAGATCCAGCCTCATCTGACAGTTTGTCTTCACATAAATCAGGATCATCTAAAAATTTATCTATTGCATTTCCAGCAAGAACTTCTTCTGGCGGTTGTGGAAAGTGTTTGCGTATAGCTCTTAACACCCTACGAAGTTTTACCAATCCAGTTTTCTGAGATGCATATGCACACAACCGTGTTAAAACAGACCTTATACAAATGGTGAGAGGAGAGATAGAGAGAGTACTTACTGATGAAGCTCTTGCACATGGCAATATATACTGAAAGACATCAGCACATTGTTCCTTGGACTGATAATCTCCACGACTGGTATTCTTGTGAGTGGCTAGGTCATCGTCATAGGAAGAATCAGATCGAATATTGAGACCGTACAAGCAGAAAAAGCACTGATCCAAAGCATTATCAATTAGTAACTCAAGTTCCTCTCTTTCCTCTTCACTAAGTTCATTGATATGTTCTATGGGTTTCTCTCCTTTGTTCTTCCCCTCATTGCCACCTTCTTTTCTGCATTCTAAATCTGCATGGTCTTTCTCTAGGCCTGCAGGAGATGATACATCTTTGGAAGAAATCCCTCCAAAACCATCACTCATAGTAGCACTTACTTCATTGATTTCAGCTCCACCCCCCTCTACACCCAATGTATTTAATTTTGTCTCAGTTTTAAATGTTTTGTTTGGGCTATGAAGCTTGTCATCATGTTCAATTGCTTCTATGTTAGAAGAGTTTAAGTTGGACTTGAGCTTCATGTCCAATGCCAAGAGATGCTTTATTGCAAATTTAAGAAATGTTCCTTCCTCCCCTTCACCATCCCCGCCAGCACAGCAGAGGCCATACTCAGCAAGTAAGTCATGGATTGCAACAATTAGTTCAACCTAGCATTGGAAATAAGAAATTCAAGAAAAAAAATATGAGAAGAAGAAAAGATTGCAAATGATTAATATGCCCTCACATCCAATGTTTAATTTTACATTAGAAAAGTATAGCTTACTTGGGTTTTAACAGGGATGGTATGGACGAGATGTTGAAGCTTGCAGTATGCAATGCCTGCATCAACAAAGCAGCAAATTTGCTTTTGTTCTAATTCTTCACTAATCGCTGGCACAGAAGATTTCTTAGATAAGTAATTTGCAATATGGCACATGACAGCCAGCAGCAAAGACTGAATGTCGCCAATAATGCCAAAGGGAATGATTTTTCCATTCTGCAAGCATAATATATACACAATTGCATGATTCTGTAGCAATGGAAATAATGATAACTATGCACGAGGTGAAAAGAGCCATTACTCAAAACAACAGAATCATACAGTCACAAGCTGCATTTGCATCATGTACAGAAAACATCTATAAACTGTAAATTTTGTCTGAACTGATGAAACAAATTGCTGTTCTTTGACATAAAAAAGACCATAAAAAAGTATTTCTTTTTATAAACAACTTACACAATCAACAGATGGACCCAGAAAGTTCTTGAATTGTGATACACATTGTGAAATTGTTTTCACTTCCTCCATCACCAAGTCATTCCAGTGCTTCTCTGGATTTTCTTTTGACACTATATCAGAGGCATAGTATGCCTTTAACTCAGACTTCTGATGGAAGGTTACATATCCATCCATACCAGCTAGTATCAAGAGTATTTCCAGCTTCCGTTGGTGACTCTTCAAACATACCTCAATTTCCATTGGCTTTGCCTTCTCACATGCTTCAATTAATGTATCTAATGCTGAAAGTTCAATGCATGTAAATTCTTCACCTTTCTTATCAGCAGCAGGCAATGGCAATACATTGAGGTGAACATGCTTGGAAGAGAATAGAAGTGGAGCAAGCAAGTCTATACAATCCGAATACATTTCTTTCTCAATCATCTCTCCTACCGTCTTCTCAAGCAAGAGATCAAGCTTCAATAGATTAATTCCATGCAGAATCCTGTCTATAGTTAACTCTTTATCAATCTTCAGGTGTGGAAGACAGACTGATGGAGCACCGTTTGTTACTTCCTTCTTTGCCAAAACAGACAAGGAAATACAGAACTCTCCATGAGCTTTTGCCTTGTTTCCATCCATGATAGACAATTTCCCACTCAACCAGAAATACCGAACCCAGAAGGAACTTTTGTTTTCCAATAAGGAAATGTTTAAAAGTGAATCCCAGCCTCCGGTGCCTTCTTTTAATGTTTCATCACTATCTTGGAAAATCTTATCTGAAGAGAAATTTATATTTCCAGATACATGAGTCAAGTGAAAAGGATAATCCAAAGCTACTGATTCAATTATTTTACAAAGATGATAGGAAGCCTCTGACAAATATTCAGACATCTTGGAAACATTTGAAGGTAACGATCCAAGATCATAATATAGTTCAGCTAGAAAAAGGCAGCATTCAGGCGTCCTATCTCTCCCCCAATGTCTTGTCAACCTCTCCAACTCCAAGAATTTGACAAACGCATCTTGATACTTAAGGATCCTGCTTGCAGCATGTTCCAAAAGCAAATGGCCCATATGGTAAGCACCATAATTTTTTGAAGTTTCCCTTACAAAATCAGCCACATCATTGTGTTCCGTATCCAATGAATTAGCCTGATCAAAACATGGAACCGAACAACTACCCACAAGATCAGAATCCTCATTTTTAACTATGAAAGGTTCTATGAGCTGAACTACGACTTTGGCCAGATCCTTTCTAGTATCAAAATCCAATTCTTCTTTTCCTGGTTTACGACTCCTAAGACGAGTGCTCCGCCTCTCATGAGGATGTTCATCAATAATATTTGGATCCCTTTCCTTAACACTGCTGGCTCTTTCAGAGTTACAATCGACAAAAGACACGCTTTGAATGCTAGGGATGGATTTTGACCCTTTCTTTTCCACAGACTCCATGATGATTTCCATATTTGAAGGCATGTTTATAGTTAACCTGATATCCCCTGATCTGCATACTGTATCACCCCCCATCTCAGAACCAAAACCATTGAGTTTAAGTAAAATTTCCAGAATGGCATCAGTGAGAGCTGCCCATGAAACTTCAGGTAGGAGCAATTCTATGTTGTGGTTTGCCCGTTTACATGCAATACCCTCATCAAGATTTTCATCAGTTGCTTTTCTCTTATCAAGAAATTTAAGTCTGACATGCTTAGGTTCCAGCTTATCTATACCTCTAGGAGAAAATGGAACTGGCTCCGACTCTTCGATAGTATTTTTGACATGCAAAGCACGAGAATGTGAAGGCCAATGTCTCAAAATTAACTCTGCTACAGAAAGGCATGCAACCTCATCACCAATGGCAATAAGAACTTCCAATAGTTTCTCCATGCAATTCCCTGAATGCATGACAAAGAGAGAAGACAAACATGTCCACATCATAAAAAAATAAAGCAATTTTACTGAAAACTGTAACATGTAAACACTAAGAATGAATGATATATCCAAACAATCAACACAAACAAACACCAAACAAAGAGTTTGGACGCTGGCCAAGCAACAAATTATAGAACATTGGAACAACAAGATAACTGCTTACAATTATTTGGGCTACATAGAAGCCCTTGCTCAAACGCCCAACGTGAAATACTCAACAAACCCATCGAGCAAGATAATGTTCCCAGCTGATTCCAGACAACAGAATCTTTGGTATCAATCTCTACAGCTTGAAGGTAACAGCGAAGAGCACTCTCATAATAACTAGGACCTTGTTGAAGAAAAACAGTTGCAAGATTCTTCAGCACCAAGAATCTACAAAACAACAAAATCAATAGCATATCATATAACCCTCCAAAAAAATTAACAGAAAATGCAACAGATACAGACCTGAGTTGTAGCAAATGACCATCATTCGCATTACGATCAGCCTAAAAGAACAAATAAACAACATGCTTAACAATCTACGCAAGCACGGTGAACAAATTCATATTTAAAAATTAGCCTTCAGATAAGAAAAGCAAAAAAATAAATAAAAATACCTGAGCATTTGATATTAACGGATCTTTTAAAACCGATTCCAATAACTCGCATGCTTTATCATACTCTTTCGCTTGTAATTTAAGCAGCCCATCATGATAATTTTGTGTAAGATGAAATTCCTGAAATTTGCAATTCAACCTCCCAATTACTAAGAAAAAAAAGAGAAAAAAAATCACCCAATTTGCGATGAAATTAGGTTTTAAAAAACAATTGATATGTGCATTAAATTTAATAACAGAATGTGTAGTAATTAGAGTAAATAAATGTTACTTTATTACTTTATTGTTCAAGAGTAAAGGGAGGGAGAGAGAGACGAGCCTGGGCTTCTTTAGTCGGGGCTAAGGGTTCCCATTGCTCTTTAGAATCAGTATCGTTAATGGCTGCAATAGAGAACTGAGAAACACCAAAGTTTCATTAAATAACAGCGTTAATCGCTGATTAATCAAGCTAATAATTTCAAGAAATTAACCTACCATTATTCAGCTCTCGCGATTACGGTCTTGATTCTTCGATTTCTTCTTCTCTGCTTCAGATTTTTTTAGGCGGGTTCGTTTAGTCGCGTATTTTTTAATTAGTAGTACAGTGGGCATTGTGATTTTACTATTATGGGCTTCTTCATAAACCCCCCTCGGAAACAAATTGTGGTTTATTCGTCATTCTGCTTCCAAAACGCACCATTTAGTTTCTGTTCTCCGTCTTCTAGGATAATCAGAATGGATATTCAGTAGACGAGCAGTCGTTCGTTGAGATTGCTCTGCTATGCTCTCCCATGTGCGTGCTGCTACATTGTTGAGTTCAGTAGCAGCAGGCCAGCTTATGGCGACGGTAATGTTTTGATTGTTGGGGGAGGAAACACTTCCTCTGCAAACGGGTTTTCGCGTTTCCGAACTGAAAGGGCTGGTATGGAGTGGAGATACCGTATCCTGCTTCTGTATTTATTTCTTTTTTCATCTGTTATATTGTTGGTAATTCTGAATCTTAAATCCCCATTTGCTTGATGATATATACCTGCTAGCTTTTACTATACAATTGAAGAAAGATGATTCTGAACCGGAATAGAAGATTGTTAGATATGGATTTTCAAGACTGATGATATCCTTGATCGCAACCAGGTTTGTGATGAACTATTCTATTACTGGGAATCCTACACTGGGCTTGGTATTGCTTTGTTTGAGAATGGCTTTCATCATTCCTAGTTTCCTTCCGTCATTATCTGCTGGTGAGGAATGGAAGGCCAGAGACATTGGATAAAAGTATTTCCATCATTTTTGTAGTTTTCCTCTTTTAATGTCAGAATTGTTTGAGCAGAGACCATCTTCCCCAGATCCTATTCTGTAGCAAGTGTGGCGTGACCTCTGGTACTGCCCATTTGAATATTTCAATTCGTTTCATAGGAGTTCTGATGCATCAGCGGAGCCTTCTCCTGGAAATTTTTTATTAACGTCGTGAACTTTTCGCGAGGCCTCTGCGTCCCCAACCATAACAACATGCAATGTCCGTGTTTTACCAAACTAAGTAAAAGCATTAGTTAAAAAGGTACTGAGAAAACATTACATTTTCACATAACCGCTAATAAGAATCATCGTGGTTTTATTAATGATTTATTATACCCGCCAATGTAAATAGTAATTGTGTTATGATTAAACCCCTTGATTGAATTTACCCTGCACAAATTCTAAACTCTAACCATAAATTAATCTCAAATCAACTCATAAAATATCAAAACTCAAATCTATAATTTAAAAATAAGAATATAAATTGCAAACAAAAAGATTAAGCATAGTGCTACCAATTAATTCTTTTTTCATCAAACAAATCAAGGTAAGTGAGCATCGTTAACTCCAAACTTAAAATTTATTTTTATTTTGTTTTGGGATGTTTGTTAAGAATTTAATAAGGTTTTTTCATAATTTTATTATTTTTGCTTCTTTTTATTTTTGTACTCAAATTTGCTAGTTTTACCAAATTTGTTTTTGAATTATTGTTATAGTGATTTTTTTCTAATTAATTAGATATATTTTATTGGTTTGTCTTTATTACACTTGGATTTTTTTTTATGTTTTGCTTTTAGTAGAACCATCAAAATTATCAATTTTTTCTCACGATATATGTTTTGATTTTAGGTTGAATCATGAACAATATAGAAAGAATTGATTCTTTTTTTAGAACAAAAGAACAAATATTGATAACTCATAACTTAGTAAACCAACTTCAATGTATAATGTTGAAGTTATGGTTAAGCAACCTCAATGTGCTTTAATTTATGAAAAACTTGCATTAATTAGTGGCAATCTCTTACTAGAATAGACATTGCTCATTTAATTAGAGATCCAAGCAATCGTCCTCACATTTGGAAATAACCGGTTAATCAACAAGATAAAATTTGAAGGGTATATATTAATTTAGGGTCATATCAACCTTTGATATCTGAATATCCGTTAACTAATGAAAAACATCTTTATCGATTTCAGTCTCATTGGTTTAAAAGTTATCCATGGCTTGAATATTCAAAGAAAAATACTGCATTTTGTTTCCCTTACTATTTATTTCCAAGTAAACCATCTGGAAAGCTAAGATCATATACATTTATCGTTAAAGGATTCAATTGTTAGAAGAAAGTTAATGATAAAGAACGGTGTGTTTTTTTTACTCATATAGGAAAATATCCAAATTCAGCTCATAGATTTGCTACTAGATGCTTGGAAAATTGACAAATCAGTCATGTCATATTAAGAAGATAGTTCAGAGGCAAACTACTCAAGAAATTTTAAATAATTGATAATGTATTAAAGTTTTAATAGATATTGTTCATTGGCTCACATTTCAAACATGTGCTTTTAGAGGGCATGATGAACATCCAAAATCAAAAAATCGAGGTAATTTTCTTGAAATGATGGAACTTTTAGCATCATATAATGATCAAGTAGGTGCTCTTGTTTTAGATAATGCTCCACAAGAGCAAATAGCCCTTGTTATTAGGTTTGTTGATGAAAGTGAATTTATATGAAAATGATTTTTAGATATAGTTCATGTTAAAAATACAATTGCTTCAACTCTTAAAGAAGAGATTTCCATTATCTTATCTCATCACAATCTTGATGTTTAGAATATTAAAGGTTAAAGGTATGATGGTGCTAGTAATATGCGTGAAGAGTGGAATAGTTTACTGATTAGTACTTAAAAGTGTATTTTTATCAAGGTTTTATATCATCATTATGCACTTGAAGTATGAATAACTCCTTAATTAGAGCATGCTTTATAATAATAAGTCTGAAAATATAAGATACCTTTAATTTATGGTAAATGATCATTTTAAATATAGGTATATATCATAATTCAAAGGATTAATTATTGTGATTAACGAAGTAAAAGGACAAAGAAAACGTTAAGCTTAAAAAATAGATGCCGATTCAATTCAAATTCGAACATTGTTCAGTCATTAGATCATATCTGGAGCTATAGATCTTGGGTTTCAGTTTGGTTTTATATGGCTAAAAAGATAAGAAATAGACCTACAACTTTTATGATAAGGAAAGACCTAAATCTGCAGTTTTCAAATTCAAAGTTTAGCCATAAAAGAAAAGTCAGAATCTGTCCTGCAATCCAGCCCAAACATTGCTTAGAATTTTACCCATTGCAGGAGTTCTAAAAGGACAAATGACATAAAATTTAGTGGGTGAAAGGAAAAGACAATTTCCAACAAGTTTCATTAAGAATACCTACTCAACTTCTAATGGTAGCAATGACATTTCATCCAGACAAGAGCTTGATGGCTATCCACCATATCCACCAGAAGCAATGCTCAGTAATTTAGATATATCTCGAGCTGTAGTGCTCGAAATACTCTGAAATTTAATGGGTGGAAGTAAAAGACAATTTCCAACAACTGTCATGATGAACATTTTATCAAATTCAGATTGCATCAATGTCATTTCATTCAACCAAAATGCTTGAGTGTTGTTGTCCTCCAAGTCCACTAAATCAATAGTTGGCCACTTCATCAATAATCAATTACCAAATGAATAGTTTTGAATTTTAGCCTATAAAAGAAGGCATTTGCCATTCATTTAGACATATTATTTTCCATATCAAGCTCATGTTCTTGCTCTCTCTCTCTCTCTTTATATTCTTGTAATGCTTAAGTTTTGCTTTCATTAAAAGAGATGGCCAAACTTAGAAAAGAGATGCTAGTGTAGTCTAAACCGAAACACTGTTCGGTAATTGGGTCATATCTGGAGTTGTAGATCTCGGATTTAGGTCTACTTTATATGGATGGAAAGGTAAAACATAAGCCTACAACTTTCATGAGAGCCCAAGATTTAAAAAGGCCATTTTCAAGTCCAAATTGTAGCAACAACAAAGAAG